TTCTCTCTCTCTCTCTCTCTCTCTCTCTCTCCCTCTCCCTCCCCCCTCTCTCTCCCCCCTGTTCCTTACCTGTATTTTACAAGAGGTAAAACTCAAGCGACCAGGTTCTGGATTGGCAGAAATAATGAACACCTCATCACCTCCCATCACTGCTGAGATTGGAGGGGAATCTAGATCAATGATGGGTTCCAGATTGCCAGGGCAGGAAGTGACTGGAGAAAATACCAAAATGTATTCATTCGCACCAAAGAAATAGCAAGCACATTTTCAGAATCATTTGTAACCTATTTGGCATTCTTTTCAGATGCTTTACAGCCGTGCTTCTCAACTCTGGCAGCTTTAAGATGGATGGGTTTCAACTCCCAGAATTCCCCAACCAAGTTCATCCAGAGTTTCATTCTTCACCACCACCACTCTTTGCTGGGCTGGGAATTCTGGGAGTTGGAAAGCTTACTCATCTTAAAGTTGAGAAATACTTCTCAATAGTCACGGATCTTCTCTAACAATCATGAATCTTCTCCTTGGAAGACTTCCAGAGTGCCTCTTCATGTCTTCTATCAACTTTCCCTAATCTTGTAGGACCTCTAGATACATTGGACTTTGCTTCTCACAATTCCCTCGCAGTGGTTCAAAATAACCAGATACTATTAAAGGATGTCTCTAATATATTACCGGTAGCAGATCATTCCTTAATCCACACACAAGAAATTCGTAATACTCTTTGGTTGCGTGATATCACAGCAAGGATGAAATGGACTATGAGGTCCTAAACAAGAACTCTCTAGTTACAAAGATGGGACAACAAAGTCTGCTCACCCGCGCCATTTCCCCCAAGAGAATGATTGTTGTTTTCATTTTCTTGACATGGGATCACCAGCTGGAGTTCACTGATGTCAACCCCGGAGTTCTGGATCTGATTCTACAATTCCAAACATTTCCAAGTTCAAGCGATCGAGTGGCAACCAGGTTCAAAATTGGTAAACAAAGTCCACAGAAGGACCTGAAATAATTATACTTACTTCTTGATCACTGTGGACTTCCAGAGAACTTCTTTTGAGACATAACCTCCACCTGGAAAATAAAGGAACAGAAAACACATCAAATCATTTAACATAGTAACAGAATAACAGAGTTGGAAGGGACCTTGTAGGTCATCTAGTCCAACTCCCCACCCAAGCAGGAGACCCTACACCATTTCTGACAGGTGGCAGTCCAGTCTCTTCTTGAAAGCCTCCAGTGATGAAGCTCCCACAACTTCTGAAGGCAACTTCTGTTCCATTGGTTGATTGTCAGGAAATTTCTCCTTATTTCCAGGTTGAATCTCTCCTTGGTCAGTTTCCATCCATTATTCCTTGTCTGACCTTCGGGGACTTTGGAAAATAGCTTGACCCCCTTCCTCCTCTCTGTGGCAGCCCCTCAAATATTGGAAGACTGCTATCCTGTCTCCCCTAGTCCTTCTCTTCACTAGACTAGCCAGGCCCAGTTCCTGCAACCGTTCATCACGTGTTTTAGTCTCCAGACCTTTGATCATCTTAGATAGATTCAGATTAACAGAGTTGGAAGGGACCTTGTAGGTCATCTAGTCCAACCTCCCACCCAAGCAGGAAGACCATACACCATTTCTGACAGAGGACAGTTCATTCTCTTCTTGAAAGCCTCCAATGATGAAGCTCCCACAACCTCCGAAGGCAACTTCTGTTCCACGGGTTGATTGTTCTCACTGTCAGAAAGTTTCTCCTCCTTTCCAGGTTGAATCTCTCCTTGCTCAGTTTCCATCCATGATTCCTTTGTCTTGCTCAGCCACATAAATTCTGGGCTCAATTGCGTCGTAAGCCGAGGACTTCCTGTAAGTTGGCCGTTTTGGCTATTCCACAATTTGCCAAGTTGGGAGATCTTTGTGGGCAATTTCTTTGTTTGTCTTCGCCAACGAATCGAAATGACCCCATCCTGGATTCTACAGGGCATCCATGGTTTGTATTCACGAAGGTGACCAGATGAATTCTGGGGCCAAAAAGCAATTAGAAGGATTGGCCAACCAACAAGGGAAGCTTTCATTCCTTCTCCAACCGGTACACAAAGGGAGCAGTGTGGCAAAAATCTTGGAGAATCCCCAGAGGGTGGTGGAGGAAAATGAATCTTTGGACATTTCACTGGCTTTTCCTCACCCCCCACCCCACCCACTCATTTACACACACAAACACACACTATTTGAATAGTGTTAGGTGACCACCTACACAACCAGAACTGGAGAAATATGTCTGGGACAGGTTTGCCGACTGGGACCAAGCTGCTACTTTTTAGCCTCACCAATGAATACGAGGAGGAGGAGATGATGGAGAGGAGGATGGAGAGAAGTAAACTCCGCCGCGGGGTGGCTGCTTGCTGAGGCTTCGGAAAAGCACGGCGGAGCAACAGGGAAGGAGAACATATCCCATTCTTCCCAAAACTGATTTTTTTTTTCCTTCAATCACTGAGCAATCAAGTTTGGGACTTTCGGATCAGTGTTGCACCAAGGAAAGGAGCTTGAAGCTTGGGGTCTCCGAGAATCAATCATGAGTCAATCCGGAGGGTTGGACTGGATGACCTACCAAGGTCTCTTTCAAGTCTGTTAATCTGAATCTATCTTAAGATGATCAAAGGCGAGGCTAAAACTTAAACAGTTGAACAGTTGCAGGAACTGGGCCTGGCTAGTCTTGTGACAAGAAGGACCAGGGGAGACAGGAGAGACAGGAGAGCAGTCTTCCAATATTTGAGGGGCTGCCACAGAGAGGAAGGAAGTGGGTCAAGCTGTTTATCAAAGCCCCTGAAGGCCAGACAAGGAATCATGGATGGAAACTGAACAAGGAGAGATTCAACCTGGAAATAAGGAGGAATTTCCTAACAGTGAGAACAATCAACCGATGGAACAGAAGTTGCCTTTAGAAGTTGTGGGAGCTTCATCCCTGGAGGCTTTCAAGAAGAGACTGGACTGCCATCTGTCGGAAATGGTGTAGGGTCTCCTGCTTGGGTGGGGGGGGTTGGACTAGATGACCAACAAGGTCCCTTCCAACTCAGTTAATCTCTTAAGACTGAAAACACAAAACGGTGAAGAATCCACCACCTCTCACTTACCTACATGCAATGCAGAGTGAGGACAAAAGAACCATCGCAAAGAACAGGATGCCCGTGATGACCACCAACATCATAGTATTCTCTTCTCCATCCTTGATGTCGTTTGTGGGCGTCACCTCCGTCCCATTCTTGTACTCGAAGAGCATGGCGAAGCCTCGCCCACGGTTAGTTGTGGTGATCAGCTCCACAATAACTTCCACCATCTTAAGAGAAGACCCAAAGGTCATGTTTTGATTCAAGGGCGATTTGGTCCCACAGAAGCGAGAAGAAAAAGCAATGAGGTCCGAGACGTACAAGACATCATCTGGACAAAGATCAGCGGAGAATGATGGCGTGGAAGAGATGTTGAGTGGCAAGATCACGGTTGAAATGGCAGCCTCATCTCCAAAAATCACCTTTCCTACATGTTTCTGAGCACCTTCGGCGTTCTCCTTAGCAGGGTAGCGAGCAAAGAATATTTTGTCCAACAAGTCCTCCTTCTCCTGTTTTCCACCTTGTCTCGTCAAGGTATCGTTGGTTCCTTCCTGGATTGGAAATTTACTTGGTTGAGTGACAGCTAAGTCTTTGGGTTCTCCACTTGGATGCAATACTTTCCACTCAAGGTTTTGAGAAGTGGCTTCTGGAAAGCCATCGTCAAGATCTGTTGAGTCAAGATGAGGGTCAACCGAAGTCTTGGTTGGAACGACGGTGCTTGAATACTCTACGATTTCTTCTCTGGGCGAAGAATCCTTGTTTGTATTTTGGGTTAAAGCAAAATAGCCATCCCAGGCGTTTGGGTCTTCATCACTGATGCTTTCAAACACATCGAAGTCAAAGATCTCCAACAATAAGTAGGCCTTAGCAGGGATAAGAAATCGCCAGACGCAGTGCATGCCCGATGAATAATTGTTGGGAAAGCCGGGAGATAAAATCAATCCTCTTTCCCAGGAACTGAACTGAGCCCCACAGGAATAATAGACCTGAAACAACAAAAATTTAAATATGAGCCAGCCGTGTGCTGCAGCTGCCAAAAAACAACCAACAGTTCTAGGCTGCATAAACAGAGGGATAGAATCAAGATCACGTGAAGTGTTAATACCACTTTATCATGCCTTGGAAATGCCATACTTGGAATATAGCATCCAGTTTGGGTCACCACGATGTAAAAAAAGATGTTGAGACTCTAGAAAGAGTGCAGAGAAGAGCAACAAAGATGATTAGGGGACTGGAGGATAAAACATGAATGGTTGCTGGAACTGGGTATGTCCAGTTTGATGAAAAGAAGGACTAAGGGTGACATGATAGCAGTGTTCCAATATTTGAGAGGCTGCCAAAGAGAAGAGGGTGGGGTCAAGCTATTCTCCAAAGCACCTGAAGGCGGGACAAGAAGCAACAGATGGAAACTAATCAAGGAGAGAAGCAACTTAGAACTAAGGAGAAATTTCCTGACAGTTAGAAAAATTAATCAGTGGAACAACTTGCCTCCAGAAATTGTGAATTCTCCAACACTGGAAGTTTTTAAAAAAGATGTTGGATAACCATTTGTCTGAAGTGGTGTAGGGTTTTCTGCCTAGGCAGGAGGTTGGACTAGAAGACCTCCAAGGTCCCTTTCAACTCTGTTATTCTAATATCCTAAAATGAGGAAAATTCATGCTCATTTCCTTCAACAGAAGCATTTGCTCTGTCAACTGACCAAGTTCTCCTCCTTTTGGCCCCATCAGTTCTAAGTTGCTCATGGGTACAAAACAAAGTTTTTCCTCTCTTGAAAAAAAACATTGGGACTCATGCTGGTTCAGTCTTTCAAGACCTGCAACCCAAACACAACTGGTTGTGTTGAGGAAGTCAGTGGAACGGCTTGCCACCAGAAGTTGTGGCTGTTCCATCACTGGAGGTTTTTAAGAAGAGACTGGACAGCCACTTGTCCCAATGGTATAGGGCAGGGGTCCTCAAACTTGGCAACTTGAAGACTTGTGGATTTCAACTCCTAGAAGTTGAAGTCCACAAGTCTTCAAGTTTGGAGACCTGACTGGGGAATTCTGGGAGCTGAAGTCCATAAGTCTTCAAGTTGCCAAGTTTGGACACCTCTGGTATAGGGGGTCTCCTGCTTGAGCAGGGGGTTGGACTAGAAGATCTCGAAGGTCCCTTCCAGCTCTATTCTCAATTGAATTGAGGAAAACTAGCCAGTGTCTTCTCCATCAAGAGAAGAGATAGTCTGTCTGATGTGTTAAAGCTATAACATAAAAAAAATCTACAGGGAGTCCTTGAAATACGACCACGAGCCCAACGTTTTTGTGGGTCAGTTATTGAGTTTTGCCCCATTTTACATTTACTTGCCACCATTGCTGAGTGAACCCTTCAGTTGTTAAGGTAGCAACACAGCTGTTAAGTTAATCTGGCTTCAAGTGTCTACATTTTGATCCCATCGCCATGGGAGAATGCTGCATCGGTTATATGTGTGAAACTCGGTCGTAAGTTGCTGCATTGAGTGCCTTGGTAACTTCAAACAGTCACTAAATGAATAGTTGTAACTCAAGGACTGCCTGTATGTTTTACGGTGAGGCTTCAGTCCAAGGATACAAAACATCCATGGAATTTCAGCCTCAACCAAAAAGATATAAACCCTCCTATATTTTGCTATTTCCCCACTCACTATCAAGCTTGGATAGAGCGAAGTTATACATTAACAAGACTTTCTTCTATTTTATTTTTAGTTATTTATTATTTGATTTGTCAATCACTTACAAGGTAATAGGTATAAGTATAAACATGAGTAAGAATACAGGAAATAGGTACGAATAAATGGGGACAATAGGATAGGGATGGTAGGCACGATGGTGCACTTATGCACGCCCCCTTACAGACCTCTTAGGAATGGGGTGAGGTCAGTAGTGGATAGTTTGAGGTTAAAGGAGTGGGGGTTAGAGGATGTAACAACAGAGTCAGGTAGTGCGTTCCCGGCATTGACCACTCTGTTGCTGAAGTTGTATTTTCTACAATCAAGTTTGGAGCAGTTAACATTGAGTTTGTATCTGTTGTGTGCCCTTGTATTGTTGCAGCTGAAGTAGTCATTGACTGGTAGGACATTGTAGCAGATAATTTTGTGTACTACGCTTAAGTCCAACCGCAGGCAACATAGTTCAAGATTGTCCAAGCTCCATCTGTTCTCTGACATTAATTGTGGAGGAAAAGAGGGTTTAAAAAAACAAAAACTACAAAGGGATTAAGTCATTTTTAGTCTGTTTAAACACAAATGAATCTTGGCAGGAGAACAGAGAAGTCACACAGAGTTTGTGTATAAGGCCAGATGTGAAAATATTCCAGATTCTTTCCCCTTCAGTCGGAAATTAAAACCCGCTGGAGAATAATAGCAATAACAGGGTTGGAAGGGAGATTGGAGGTCATCTAGTCCAACCCCCTGCTCAGCAAAGACACCCTATACCCTCCTGGACAAATGGCTGTCTAATCTCTTCTTAAAAACCTCCAGTGATGGAGAGCACCCACAACTTCTGGAGAAAGGTTTTTTTTTTCCAAAGTTTTCTCTCAGCTTCATACACAGAGCCACCTTCTTCACATCATGGTTTGTTTCTGCTCCAAATCATATTATTTGGCTTAGAACAAGGATTGACCCAAGATATTTGATTGTCAGAAAAAGAGACAGTGATGAAGCCCTCCTTCTCCATTCCAGGGTAAGGCAGTTCTCTCGGGACTGATCCAAAAATATACTTTACTAGCTGGATACCTGTGCTTCACTACGAAACAATGTGATTGGTGCTTAGTTTTTTGGGAGGAAAATAAAGAGGAAAAAATTCTGCCTCTGCCTACCAGCATCCATCAGTATTCATCTGGCTGGCGTCCTGTCAGTGTGTGAGAGAGTTGAGGGCTGTTTGGAAACTGAAAGAGTATTTGCTGTATGAGCAAGGAGCCAACAAGGAGCCTGGGTGTGGCTTAGCTCAACTGTTCTGGACTAATGCTGTTTGGTGCTGTGAAACCGAAACTCCTCTGCTTGTGTTTTGCATTTGGAAATTTCTTTTTTTCAGGTGGGGAGGGGGAGTAGAACTCCTTAGCATCAGAGCGTGTTAATAATAATATACGAAATACTAATGCTCTGATGGTCATTTGGAAAAATCCTTTCTTAGTGAGCACCTAGAAGCCAAGAGGAACATAGGTGCCAAATTTCAAGTTTGTAGGCTTTACAATTCTGGAGATTTTGTGATGATGCGTGAGGAGCATTTCGCTTTTATATATATAGAAGAAGAAGATTTACAACACCTGATGCCTCTTGATGTTCTTTTGGAATTATCAACCCCCCCCCCCCCAAAAAAAGGTTTCTTTTTTAAAATCATTGGTAACGAATGTGGTATTTTAGGATTTTATTGTTTCTCCTATTTTTTTCTTGAAGACCCAAACAATTCTGGTATCAAGATTGATACCCATTTTACGGTAATGAGATGCAAAAATCTATATTATATGGTGTAAAAATATCAGAGTGGTGCGGTGGCTTAGAGGTGCAGCTCTCACCTCACAATCAGGAGGCTGTGAGTTCGATCCTAGGTAGCGGCAGATTTTTCTGTCTCTGGGTATACTGAGAATATATATCTGCTGGGGGGAAAAACTCCACACTGGTGACAGGAAGGGCATCCGGTCCGTAAACACAGCTTCATTTAGTTGCCCTGACTCTACCCCGATGCAAGGGTCATTAAAAGAAAAAGAAAAATAGTGTATAATATAAAATGGCCACAAGATGGAGCCAAAGAGTTATCCCAACATGTCTCTGCTGCCATCTTGTGGTCATGAAGAGTTTTACACCCCCCGATCTGGTACCCTCTGAGCTTGCTGAAGATCTGTCCCCAAGAATAAGAACAGCACTGCTTACATCTGATGCTGTTCTTATTCTTATTTGCTCGAAGCCACACTAGCTGGTGTTCCGCAACATCGTGTGATCTTCTCTTCTTTCAAATCTTTTACACAGAAATGCTTAGAGATGAGAAAGCGTGGAAGCCTAATTAAATCTATTAGATTTAAAAAAAAGAATTAAAAACCCTAATCCAATCTAGTAGATTATCATTGTGTTTATACCGCCTGCTTTGCATCGTAACCAGATGGATTTTATACAGTTAAATGCCACTGTCTCTTTAATTAGGAAAAAGCCCAGCAAGATTTAGAATTTACTTCTGATCTTTGGGCTTAGCCAGAAATTATTTTTTTCCCCCATAGCACCAAATTACTTGAGCTTAGTTGACATGTTTTTCTCTCGCTGATTACAGCTTCAGATGCCAGTAAAGTCTGCCTGGTAATTGCACAGAAAGAGAAAATTGCCCGTGAGTCAACGCAGACTGGCTTACTCATTCAGAAAAGGTGTGGTTTTCTTCACAACCACCTTGAATATCAAACAGCTTGTTGTTTCCTCGTGAAACTTTTCTTTCTTTCTTTTTCTTCCTAGTGGAGGATTCCAAACACAGGTAAGTCCTCGACTTGCGACTTCAGTTGAAGCCAGAATTTCCCTGGCTAAGCAATGGCATTCAACAAGCCATACCAATGTTACAACGTTGTTGTTGTTTTTTTTTTTTTGGGGGGGGGGAAGGTTTTGCCACAGTTGTTCAGCAAATCACTGCGTTGTTAAATGACTCATGCAGTCATTAAGCGAATCCAACTTCCTCTTCAGGTAGCCTTCCACTTAACAACGGTTTGTTTAGTAGCCGTTCATAATGGCACTGAAAAGAGTGACTTACGACCGTTTTTCACCCTCACGACCGTTGCAGCATCCCTGTCCTTGCGTGGTTAGAATTCAGAACGTTTGACAACCGACTTGTATTTATGACGGTCGCAGCGTCCCCCGGGGTCAAGTGATCCCCTTTTGCGACCGTCTGACCAGCAGAGTCCGGGTGGAAGCCAG